TATAAAGGAAAAGGTAAAAGGAAAACAAAAAGAATTCAGGTGAATCAATAAATTATTAATTTACTGCCACTGTCTGAATAATATGTAATATAATATTATTACAAGTACTTAACTTTTGGAACTGATTATGTAATACAGATTACATACAATCAGTTACTACCCAGCTCTGCTCACAACCGAGTGCTGTGCCAATAGAGATGGATATTCAAGCATAAACGATACTGTGTTTACCTCCATTAAATCAATAAACCATAGAAATGTTCATGTACAGATAATCATACAGGACTGGGAAACTGGAGAACGAGACACGAAGTCCCGAGACAAATGGACAAAAGAAAGATAAGACAAATTCACACACAGGACAAATGCCGAGTTACTTTTTATTTGTATTTATTGACTTGAGCCAGCATGACTACTTCTACACAGGCAAACCTCTAGAAAACAAGACTTAAACTCAGTTAGTACAAGAGTAAGGGACCAATTAAAAAGCAAACATTTCTCTCTTCTTCTTTTGTCTTTTTCCAAGTCTTTGGAGTTCTAAGTTTGTTTTCAGTTCTGTCTCATAGCTGAAAGAAACATGCACATTATAAAGTTCAGTACTGACGAGATTTCAAATTAATACAAACAAATGAATGTTATTTCATATAAAGGTATCAAACTTATAGGTCCTTATAGATCAATACTGGAACACAATAATAAGAGTTTCCAATAATAAGCTTCCACAGCTAGTTGAATATCACAATGCCATCACTTCCAGCAAACAGAAAACCTCAGTTACCACATAACTTCGTTTTGGTTTAATTGCACTTAATTTAGTTCCTCCTCACTTGCTGACTGTATTTATTAATTTTACGCCTCAACAAACAAAACGTGACTGTCGTGGCACCATTTGCTTGTTGATGCAACATGTTTTCTGTTTCCTGAATTTGTAATGCTCATATAACCATGTGAAAAATGTATAAAAAAATAAAACAATTGAACAGAAAGAGGACACAAGCTTTCTCACAATTGTTAACAATACTATCGATATCACATGACCTCAGCTACCTCACCATACAAAGCTAGAATAACACCAGTCTCCGACAACAAAACACCACACAGGTTTCGTGTCTCAATTTTTGTTCATATTGAGGCAAATGATAATTCTGGCTTCAAACCATTTGACGAAACATAACGTTTTCTAAAACCCCTGAATTTGCTCTTAGGATCACTGACCTGACGAATTCAGTACAATCTGTTTTATTTCTCTAATCATTGATATCTTCACACCCTTGAAAACAGAATTAACGTCTCTTCCTTAAGGAGTGAGAAAAATAAAATACAAAAACTAAACGCTAAGCTAGGATTCTCTCTTCAAAGAACAAAAAGGCACTAATGGTCAGAATGAAGATCATAAACGAAAAACGAACCAAACTGAGGGTAAGGTAAAGCAGGGCAGACCCTCGTCTCAGCGCTTCTGATCCTTTTAACACCAACCCAAACGATGTACCGACACTTGGCACGATATACAGAGAGAATTACAGCATTCCAATTTGGAATTAATTCATTTCCTCTTGTACAGAATGCAGAAGGTCAGTGACCCACGTAAAGCTTGAGCGAAGGTGCTTGAAACGAACGAAAGAAAAATCGCGAACACTTACAATAAGGTACAGTTCTTAATGCATCCAGGTTAATGTTAATATATGAACATTCTCATTTATTGTTAATTCACGTTTGATCATAATACGTTAACCTAATGTTCATTTATACAATGTTATAAAACATATTCCTATATAAAGTAATGATGCTAGATGAATAAATGCTGCATTGTTTGTTATTTGAACCTTATTGTGAAGTGTTATGAAAAAATCCATTCAATTTTTATCGATTCGCTGGTTTTGTTTAACCAAAGCCTTCCAATTAGATTAAGCCACTTTTTTTTTTTTATTTGTTCACTTTGAAATATTCCTATATAGACAAAATAACAGTAATAATAAATAGATGAAAGCCCAGCATTAAAGCGTGGCCGTAAAATGTGCCAATGTGAGAAACGTAACATTTCAGTAAAACACATAGATAATCTTATGGATGACAGAACTGGAGAATATGGATCATGTGAGTTATGAATCCGTGACGTTGAGCTCTGCTTACAGAGGACGTACATGATGAAATCGAATACTCTTAAAATAGTAGTGTAAAATACGTGAACAGACTCACCTCAAACTATAGACTAATATAATAAAAAGCAATATAGCCTTATATTAAAAGATCAAAGGTTACAAAATCTCAAAACATCGATGAATGTGCCCATGTTCTCTTTTTTGTAGTTGAATTTTAAGCATTAAAGTTTTCAGGACTTTGTGACCTCTGGCTTCCCATTTGTGTAAAAAGAACCCAAAAAGTAGGTCCAAGACAGTTTACTGGGTTTGTAGGCAGTGGTGCAATGTTGAGTTCCAGCTCAGGCTGTGCGTTACTGCAAATCGGAATAAAGAAATAAAAGCCGTTAGCATTACGGTTAACGTTACGCAGCAGCTGCATCTGCTCAAGCGGCGTTCCAGCAGAACTCAATGGAAAACCCAGAAGCCAAACACAGCCCATGTGAAGTGTTGTGTTAGTGAGTGTGGAAGAGAAGTACAGGATGCAGGAAGCCAGAGGTTCTCACAAGAACTAAAAACCTCAAACCTCACCAGGTCAAGCCAAATAAGTAGTGAATGTTAATGAGTTGTATGACGTTTTTGACCGGTCAATGGTGAAACATTTCACATTTAACTCCTCTTGGCGGAACGCAGACCAACTGGTAACCTGACTGCTAATTTTTCATTGGTAACTGAAGCGAGCAAATTTGAACTGGCCATTTAAAATTTGGACAAAATGTCACACCAACCAAAAATGATGTTTGTTTTTTTTTATTGTTAGACATGTCAACCAAATGAGACATTCGTCTTTTTCTGTGACAGGTCAATTAAATTCCAAAATGAATGTCAATAATCTGATGAGTGCGAGCAGTGCCAGAGGCATCCCTTCCCATACCGGGAGTCGAACCCAGGCGGCCTGGTAACAACCAGGAATCCAAACCACTAGATCATATGGGAACAGACCTTGCTAGATTAACTGGACTAGAAAATGTTACAGAATGTGAAAGACGCATGTAATCTTAATTTAACACTGTTATTTACAAATACAGCGATTCAGAGAAGCCATTCATTAGCCCATTTGCAGCAATTCATGAATTAATCGACAATAGCTTGCAAATAGACTATGAACTCTTATTTCAGTTTGTTTAAAAACCCTAGCTCGGCATCGACTGCTTCAGTTGTGTCAATCTTTCACGTGATGCCAACACAAAACGGTGAATGCAATCTATATGGAGATGAGAGATTCAGATCATATACAGATTACTAATGCTAAGGTCGAGTGCAACTAGGAATATATGATCTTATCATGAAAAGCTGATTCGGGATGTTTTAAGCAAGCCAGAGAATGAAAGCCTGAAACTTTGAATCTTTTGTTTGCCAAAATGAGACATTGGTTTGCCCTTCTCGTCTTGAAATGAGACGGCCACGCTATTTAGAGCACAGAAACGACAGATAAGGCCTCTCTAATGTTTCATCTGCAATGGAAATATGTTGACAGCACGTGGCAAGCCCTTCACCATGACTTCACCGTGTGAAGCCGTGTGTGCTCAAGTAAACGTAATCGAGTCTAAGACATATTAAAGCTCTCAGTTCTGCAGCCAGACATCAAATGAAAAAGCAAGCCAGAAGCCCACTGGCTTCGTGGCGCATACTGATTTATGAACACGCGTCGTTCCCGCCTGCCTCACGAGTGACATCGTTAAAACACACACACTCTCCAACCCGTCGATTTTCATTTTTGATGTTATTTCTGTTTTCTCGCAAAAACAAAACAAAAATGGCACACTTCTATGAGTTTTCCTGCACGTCAACAAGGCAGGGAGGAGGTTTGCATATTTCGTTTGGTCGGGCATGTAAACACGAGTTACCTGATTGGACGGGCTGCTGATTTCAGAGGCAGGAGAGAGATGGACAGAGGAAAAGGGCGAATGGCTATTGACTTGTGACCACAATTCAACAATCCTATGGCTAGCTCTCTCTATCATGTCTAATCTAGAAATGCTGCCTTGAGCTGTAAAATTGTGCAATTGGGTTTGGTGCCGCTAGCAGAAACACACTTCACCTATAAGACTAAATGTTATTTCATTCTGCCCTTAGCTAGCACTACAACATGCACCTGGCTATGAGGACGTTAGCAGGCATGACCATATTTAGCCCTAAACACACGGACACATCATATGGGTTAGCACACAGCAAGCAAGAGTGCGTGAGTGGAGCTTTGTACAACGGCTGACGAGGCTCGCACAGCTTCAGTCGCAGTAGATCTTGTACTTCTCGCTGCAGAACACCACCGGCGTTCCCAGGAGGCCGTTGGGCTCGCCTCGACCCCCGCAGGTGGCAGCGGCGGCAGGGTGACTCACGTGGGAGTGGGTGGGTTTCCCGCGCGAGGAGGCGGTCTTGGAGCGGCCGTTGGCTCTGCCGCGGCGGGTCTGCTCGTGGTCGAACTCCAGGTCCTCCAGGCGCTGGGTGAGCGCCAGCTTCTGCTGGATGGCCATACGGAGGAGGGAGTTCAGTGTCTTCTTCTCATCATCCGCAGCAGCCAGCTGCCTCTGCATCTCATCCAACTGAGTCACGTACTCGTCACAGCTGAGAGACAGAGAGATGGTCGATATATTAGTACTACAAAAAAAAAAACATTCCTTTTTGGTAACATTGTCCATAAGGCCCTGTTTACACCTGGTATTAAGAAGCATTTTTGTCAATCAGATCACAAGTGGACAACACTAAATAAGGCGTGAAAGGGGTCTGAAAAGTTATAAACACATCTGACCAGACTGCTTTCGTAATGTAAACGGCAAATGTGTTCGAACAGCCACTAAAGGTGCCTCCTCCTTTACCTACTGACCTAATTCTTAAAGATTACAGGACATGTTGTTAAAGCACAATAGCAAGACAGGATTTAAACTTTGCCAGCTGAAGTCGTAAGTCTGGTTTGAAGGCAAAAAACAAACAAACAAACACAATGTTCTTGTTTTATTCCTGCTTCTAACTCAAACCCACAGCATATGGCGTAGTTTTGCAGCTATCACAGCAGAAACAAACGCTGCTGCTCTGTGTCTCTGTAATCTTCCTCACTTGTCTCAATTCCTCAGCAAATCCAATAGATCAGAAAAACTTGATGTTGTAACAGAAACTATAAACTCTCAGAAACTAGAAACTTTTACTATAAACTTTTCTAGCATTTTAGATACGGTTGGTCCTTTATGCTTAAAGAAGATTAAGGAACCCAGTCCGACACTGTGGTATAACTAGCACACTCGCACCTTAAAGAGAGCAGCCTGGAGAATGAAGCACAGCTGGAAGAAAACAAAACTAGAGGTATTTTGTATTGTATGGAGGGAAAGTACTTCTACTTATAGAAAAGCTCTAAAATTGCTAGATCTGCTTACTTTTAATCTCTTTTAGAAGAGAACAAACACAACCAGAATCAGAATCAGAATGAGCTTTATTGCCAGGTATGTTTACACATACAAGGAATTTGTTTTCGTGACAGAAGCTTCCACAGTGTAACAGAATGACAGTGACAGAACAAAAAACACAGATAATAAAAAAATAAAAAACAGAAAAAGTAAACAAGGAATAAAAATATATAAATCGACAATTGTATGTGCAGGTATATTACAATAGACAGTTTTGTATGTACAGGTACTGTATATTATGTGCAAATTTTAGACTGAGACTGAGTGTTAGATAAATAAGTGTATGAGTGTATAAATAGTGTGTGTTCCTGCGGAGGAATGTAAACACTCACGAGAATGAACGAGTGGAACTCCCGCGGCGAATAGAACGGCTTACAGTTAATGAAGAGCGCTTCTAGATAGGGACAGCACATCTTCTTTAACACTGTTACATCTGTACACCACCTTTCGTTGATGTAAAAACGTCCCGCTGCCGCGTGATTTCCCCGTTGATTCTGCGTCGCAGGTCCGCTCTGAACAGCTGAAAGCCCGGCAGATGTAGTGCGCTGTCCGGAATGGCGTCATTCAGCCAGGTTTCCGTGAAACACAGAGCAGCAGAGTTTGAAAAATCCTTATTTGTCCGGGAGAGCAGAAGGAGCTCGTCAGTTTTGCTGGGTAGAGAGCGGAGGTCCGCCAGATGGATGCTCGGCAACGGTGTTCTGAATCCACGCTGTCTGAGCTTCACGAGCGCGCCGGCTCTCTTCCCCCGTCTGCGCGTCCTTAAGCGTTTGATCAGCGCCGCAGCTCCCCCGACTACAATGTCCAGCAAAACATCAGAATAGTCGAAAACTGGTGAAATATCGGGTGGTGTGTACTGCCGAATGTCCAGCAATTCGTCTCTGGTGAAACTGATTGCAGGGATATAACTAAAGACAGGACAAACTAACAAAAACATAAAAAAAACTGCGGAGCACCCCACGGAGGCAGCCATCAGCGTTGGCGCCATCGTCATAGAACGATCGTCAACCCCAGGCATTTATTCAATACAGTGGCCAAATTAACAAAAAATAAAGCATCAACAGACAGACATTCCCCAACAGCACAGTAGTAATGAACTTTATGAACTTCTTTACTTCCAAGATCGATACTTAATAGAGATAAAATTCTAACCATGCAGCTAGGGCTGTGCAAAAAATCGAATGCGATTTTCATGAGCATCTCGTCAGTAAAGCCCCTTCTGGTGATTAGTAGTAGTCAGTGATCTATGGCTCTGTGTAGTAAATGCCACTCCATCTGAAAGCACGTGCTGGAGATTTACTACTAATCACTAGAAGCGGCTTTACTGACGAGATTCGCATGAAAATCGCATTTGATTTTTTTGCCCAGCCCTACATGCAGCCTTCAGCTAGAGTACTGCATCAGACAGTCCACTTTAGATCCCCCGAGGAACAATTCCACTCATTCTCAGCTATAGGAGAGGAAGAATTGTATAAACTTGTTAAATAATCAGAACCTACAACATGTATGTTAAATCCTATTCTAACTAAGCTACTAAAAGAGGTGCTTCCAGAAATCATTGTTCCTCTTCTGAATATTATTAATTTCTCAATGTCATTAGGATGTGTCCCCAAAACCTTCAAACTGGCTGTTAAGCCTCTCATTAAAAAAACACAACTTGATCCTAGAGAATTAGTTAATTTTCTCCCTTTTCTGTCAAAAATACTAGAAAAGGCAGTATCCTCTCAGCTATGTTCCTTCTTAGAGAGAAATGGTATCTGTTATCGATTTCCAGTCAGGATTTAGACTGTATCATAGTACTGAGACTGCTCTCATCATTGTTACAAATGACCTACTCTTATCATCCGATCGTGGTATTGTGTATTTTTCTATTAGTGCTACTGGATGTTAGCACTGCGTTTGATACTATCGACCACAGCATTCTTTTGAGTAGACTACAAAATTATGTTGGTATTACTGGAATTGCATTGGCATGGTTCAAATCGTACTTATCTGACTTTCATCAATTCTTAGCAGTGAATGATGAGTAATATCGATCACAAGTGCAGTATGGAGTACCTCAAGGCTCAGTACTAGGACCGCTGCTTTTCATGCTTTACATGTTAACCTTGGGAGATATGTTACTCTTCACGCTTTACATGTTACCCTTGGGAGATATCATCAGGAAACATGTAGTTAGCTTTCACTGTTATGCTGATGATACTCAGCTCTATATTTCTTCGTGGCCTGATGAAACATACCAATTTGCAAAACTAACGGAATGCATAGTTGATAAAAAAACTGGATTACTAGTAAATTCCTACTGCTAAATTTAGTTTTAATTATTGGACCAAAAACCTCCGCATGTAATAACTAGTGCTGTGTTCGATACATTGATATGACGATGTATTGTCACAGAGATTTGACAATACGAGTATCGATACAGCTGTCCCTGTATCGATATTGCGGCACGTGCGCTGCAAGGGCTCTGCCTTCCCTGGTGTTGGTTGAGTGTAGTACTCCCACAATAAACTCTTTATTTTAAAGAGTTAAACTCTTTATTTTTTGGCAAACAAAGGGTTTACCATTAAAATTAAAACATGGAAGAAATAGCGTACTGTGTGATTATTCTTTTAAACAAAAGTTGTAATAATTGTTGTAGTAGTCAGAGGTTAAAGCAAAAAAAAAAATCTTTTGACTGAAAATTTTTCCTCGGCCAAACCCCATTCCACAGCCATACCTGTCACACACCCAGTTTAAGAGCAGTGTTTTTCTTCTTGTAATCAGGAGCGCTTGTCCTCCTAATTAAAAAAATTAAGGAGCACCTTCTGATCAATAATCAAAAATTCTGATAAAAAATTAGCCTTCCTAATATGAGGTGAAGTGATTTACGGAGGCATTTTCTTTTTACCTTTGCAATGGCATAATTTTAATCTGTCAAATTCAAAAATTTATGTTTATAAGCTTTTTAAAATTTCTATTTAAAACAATATAATAAGAAGTAGAATAAGACAAATAAGTTACCAATCATATGAAATTAGTATTAATGAAAAATTAATTTGTACTACAGAGGGTGCACAGAAGAACACAAAAGTGGCTTGTAGGTACATTTTCAGACATTCAATGAGGCTCAGAGTTGGCATGAGTGCAATTAAATTCTTAAATTCATGTGGAGCTTAATGTTTTAAATATAAAACTTTGAATACAGAAATATTAAATGATTTAAATAACTGCAATTATACCTAAAAATGAAACTGAACCAGCAGGTGGCGGCAAATCACTGATTTTATCACTGAATCATTCATTCAATTGATTCGTTCGAAC